CTTCTTCTCCTTGCTCGGGAGGAAAGCCTGAATCTGAAAATCTGAAGCGTTGGAGTTGAGGACAACAGTACCAGATTTTGTATTTAGCCTTATCTAGATGTGATTGCAGACAACTAGTCACTAAACGCGGACCGTCGATTCTGAGCAGCGCTATTCGTTCAAATCCATGAAAATGCAGGGATACAAGATTATATCATTATACTCTGTACTGTCTCAACAAGGGTTGTTTCCCGGGTGCGAGAAATTGCGAGTACAGATATATATAGTGCTTACGCTGGCTGTCGTTCGGTCGTTACTACTTCACACAACCTAACCTCTACGCAAGGACGCCATGCGGTCTATACTCGCCTTCGCCACTACTCTCGCTCTCGCATCAACCGCCTCGGCAGTAATAATATCTCTACGTTTATGTAGTTGCACAGACCTCAATAATTGCAAAAAGAACGGAGCTTGGGGATGTCTACAAACCACTGGTCCAACATGTCTCCGCCAGAGTACAAAACGAGAATGTACTACAGACTGCACTATAGCAGGCTATCAGTATGTCTATGAGCAGAAAGGGTAAGTGGCGGGTCTGCGGATTGTCGACTAGTTCCTAACATAAGATATAATAGCGGGAAGGCGGACGGCACATGTCTTTGCAGCGATACGGACGCTCACTTCCCATTAGAGCCTTGTCCTGCGAATGGGCCCAAGGGCCCGGGTGACCCACCCCGTGGAATTTGAAGCTGTTCTGGTCTTCTCAACAAATGCAAGTCCGAGGGCGCCTTGAGTTGTATATAAGTTGATGCGGTATGGAGGATACTGGATCGACCAGGCCAATTTGAAAGGATGAATGATCTCCTCATTACTCGACCCCTTCTTACTCGACAATCCCTCAAAACTTTCATCGCAATCCCAATATTTGTGGAATTCTCTAAATACATGAGTGCTCCTCCCGAAGCTGTGCTGTCACCGATAAGGAACCCAAGCAGTTCAAAATTCTGGGGGACCTGCTCTCGAAAAGAGTTCATCGTAGTGGACTCCTGTACTTACTGAAACCTTGGGGCACGTTGTGTCGGAGGAGAGTGCGTTTGATTATGAATTCTTTTTCCCAATTCATGAATTCGCGGTTGAAAGTTCTGAGTTTTGGATGTTAGATGAAGGCAAGGTAGATGAGGTGGGTGTGTGCCGAGATGGGTTCTCAACTTGTTTTTGACGGAAATGTATCCGTGTTCTTTGAAGCGTTTCCGCATTTCTGCAAGAGGGGTGTCGATTGGTGTTTCTCGCATCCAGCTGACTGTGTCATTGTCGAGGTAGTCGCAATAGTTTTGAGCGGAGTTTGGGAAGTTGGCTGGGTTCGTAGATGAGCTCATGAGCTGGTATGGGTGCTGCTTGAGCCGCAGCCATGTTGGCCGCGTTGTTGAGGGTTGACATATCTTTCTTCACTTCAGTCGGCTGAGTGATCTTGATTGGGAATGGCTTTCCTAATTCAAGTACGGTAAGATATGGGAGTGAGATTAAGAAATATTACTTGAGATCGGGTGGGAGAAAGGAAATACGCTCAACTAACTCGTCGATTGCGTGAGATTCATTCTTCTGTACTCCTCCGGCCGCACGCCGTACTATAGGTGAAAGAGCAAGCGACGAGGATGTGAAAGCTTAGCTTCCACCACATGAAGCTCTCGAAGTAGAAAGCGGCGGCGCAGGCGTCAAGTACAAGCTCTTTTCAGCTGTCGAGGTACTTCTCTCCGCAGCCGTGACTACCAAAGCTCAGCACGGCTCGTGGAACGATACCGAAAGCAGACGGACTTCACGACTTTTATGCGGTTCGACAATCAGAACAAAGTGCTGTCATCACCAACTCCACCAGTCTTCGCACGTTCGGCAATGGGTATGCGGTCGTACAACGTCATCCGGGGTAGTATTCGGCCCTTCTGTGTACCAATCTGGTCTTCATGTGCTTTATGCTCGCAGACTGTATTTCCAAGCCCGACTCAAAGTACATGTAGATGTCAGGCGGGCTCAGAGTCCCGCAGTCCATTGTTGCGCCAGACATGGATCTGGACGATTGCGCCTTCATTTGGACACCTCACCTGTAGGCGGTCGGCATATTTCCTACTCAGGTAAAGTCACAGAATGGCGGCCCTTTGACTTTACCGGTAGAGTCGAAGCGTACTCCCTCCTTGTATAGCAGCTCGTGCTTCAGACTGGCAAATTGGCCTTTCTCGCCCCAATGACCTTTGAAGCCACCAAGACTTCCATCGCCAGCAAGAACTCGGTGGCAGGGGACTTCTGGCGCAAATGGGTTGTTCCGCATGGCACTACCAACAGCCCGAGCGCAAGTCTTGTGCGACGTCTGGGATATGTGGTCAGCCATAGCTCCATAAGTGCTATATCTGCCGCGTGGAATCTGGCACAGCATGGCGAGCGCCTGCTTCCGAAAAGCCGTGATGTCCGATTTCTGGATGCGCTCCAGTTGCGCTGATATATCGACATCATCTTGAGCTTCCTCTTTGACGGATGTAGTCTCCTCTTGCTTGACGTTGCCCTCGGCTGTCTTCTTCTCGGGTGACTTTGGCGACGGAAGAAAGTAAGAGGACACTGTCGCTGCGGATGCGCTCTTCTTCGTCATTTTGTTTGCCGTTTCGGCTTTTGATGTTGAGTCCTTCTCGTCGGCCACTTTTCGTTTCTTTCCTTGCTTGCTCTGCTTGCCGCGAAGCTCCAGACTGCGCTCGTCCAGATTCACCAAATCCACATCTCCTTGAGCAATTTGCTCCGCGAGGCATATGGCGCTCTGCAGCTGGGTTGTCGTCATATTCTTGATCGCAGGCGACTTGATTACGTCTGTCCAGGGTTTGTCAACACCGACAGCATTATCCAGAACGATGCGAGCAAAGCAGTGGTCGAGACGAATTGGCCATTTATGCTGGGAGGAGTCCTTTGCGGCCGCGAGACTCGGAAGATACTCATGATATAAATACTTCCAGCGCTGTTGGAGCTCCTCTAACTCGGCGTCGGCCATTTCGCAGCAGCCGCAATGCCTCGAGGGCTGCCTGGCTGTGTTGCTGGTGAATAGAGACACGAGACGTCGATTACGCAGCAATGTAGCCGGGTACCCCTGCTTCGTCAAATCGCGCTAAGACGCGCTCTGCAGTGACCTCATCATCATCAGGACTGAAACCCAACCTCGTTTTAACTTTTCCATGGTCATATCGACATATCCAGCATGGCGCAGCATCCATTACATTCATGTCGTTTACAGCTGCCTTCATCACTACCGGAAGCCAGATGCGACTTAGTCTGCCGGAATACGAATTGCAATCCGCTCGTGGAGCTCTTCATTGCTGCAGGATGGCTACGACCTGGCTGGCAAAGGCGAGGGCAGGCTGTCCACAGTCTTTCAAGATGGCTGAAGTCGACAAGTGCATCCACGACAATGTCAAGTCAGATGTGCTTCGCTTGTTGGACTGCGAACATGCGGCTGTCCTTCAGCAAGATAAGCCGACCACGAGGAAGATTCAAGACCTCGTCGGAAGACCGCAGGCCAAAGTCAAGGTAAGGCGATCGTACCACGGGAGCCAGAAATTTGATAGGTGCAGAGTTGTATAGAGCGCACGAGAGGTCAATAGCAGAACAGTGAGACTGAAGCATTGATGGCCACCACGACCATGTCTGTAGATACCTTCGTAGTCATTGGATAGGTAATGCCTATTCCGGTAAGTCAAGTAACAAGTTGCGCACATCCAGATACTCGGTCTCGACCACCACATTCCACACCACGTGCAAGCCAAAACAACGCCAAAATACATCCATCCACCCTCCACTCCACCTCCCTCAGCACCCTCATCCACCACAACCCACATCACAAAAATGCTCCTCTCTCACCTTCACCTCCTCATCGCTACCCTGCCCCTAATCCTCGCCCAACAACAAAACGCCACACCCAGTACGTCCCTCCCCCCTCCCTCCCTCCATCCATTCCTCCCCAACTAACCTCCCTTCCCCCAGCTCAAATCCCCCCAACAAACGCCCCAACAGCCTCAGGACCAACCTACACCGCCGCGGCCCTGCCGCAATCCACCGCCTCAATCCCCTTCACCTACACAACCCCGACAACCTCGTGGTCAGCCCCAACATTCAGCACCCCAACCCCTCTCCCCCTCTGCTCGAATTTCGCAAACCTATGTCCAAACCGCAATGGGCAGAAATGCATCGACACAACCGGAGCGACGTATGGGGTTTTGTGTGGGATGAGGTTTAGTGGGAGTGTGATTACGAGTTTTGGGAGATGGACGAAGCAGATGATGGAGAAGAGGGGTGGGGAAGGGTTGGAAAAGAGAGGGTTGAGGAAGAGGGCGTATTACTCGACGCTGGATTACTGTTTGCAGTCTTGTGATCAGTATAATTCGACGCTTTGTGTGGGGGCGGATTTTCGGGATGGGAATTGTATGGCGTTTTCGGAGATATTTGGGACGTTGGCGATGCAGGGGAAAGTGGCGCTTGTGAGGTTGTCGTGATGCTAGGGAGGGTCAGGCTTGTGTATGGTCGGTCGATAATGGGGATTTGATCCTCAGTGAGCGTCGGTGGACTGGCATTAGTAGATTAGAGATGGCTCCACGTTCAAACAGGCTCAGCAGGGAGAAGCAAGGAGCTGCCTTCCTGCTTTCTTTCACCTTCTGGTACGGATTTTTATTGGGGTGCGATGTGAAGACCATAAGATATCTTCTTCGACGGTCATAGCTACTGAATTCAATTCAAAGAAGCCCAAGCACCAGTCGATCCATGCATATGCGCCTCTATTTTCCCCTGTGGCCCGCGAGGCCCTGGATCGGTAATGGCGAGCACTGTAGAAAATGCCAAGGCTGCCTACCGATCATCTCAAAGTTGGATCAAAGAAGGCAAAATCCCGCTCCTCATTTCCTTCATTACGCCGTGAACTTTCGTGTGGTATCATCAAAGAAGCAGGCACTTCAGCGTGCCAAAATTGCCGAAAGTGGAAGTATTTGTGAATGCTGTGCCGGGACAGGTAAGACCAGAATGCACCCCAATGCGCCTGAGGCAAGTGTCAGCATGGATAGAAAGCCATTGTGTTTGCGATCGTGTTGGAAGGCAATTGGCAGGCAGTGGCTCGGTTGTCGTGTTGTCGTCGTTGTCCAGGGCAAGTCTGTGTTATGAGAATTCTCGGACGTCGTCAGCCATCGTCCGAAGTCGGTTTGTACATGATGGTAGTCAAGAACTATTTCAAGTCAGCACACTAGCGACCAATTACTCTCGCATTTCTCTCACCTTGCGCTTGTATCTGGTCGTGCCACTCGTTGCTAGAACACCGCTCTTGATACTACTAGTTGCCAGGTGGTTCAGCACTGTGTGATTCGGCATGATGAGGACACTAGCATCGTCCTTGTGAGGTGTGGTCCCATTCAAAATGCTCTTACTCAAGAACATGGGCAGACTTGGAGGCTGGGGTAAATTTGCAGCCACTCGGTTGGCGCGCTGAAAACGCTCGTCTTCGGGATTATGAAAATTGTCTAGATCGATCAAGAAGTCGGGAATCTGGTTGGTGTACTTCGGCCGTGGAAGCTGTTTCTTCTGTGCAGCTGCTTTTTTATTCTTGTCTTCTGCTTTATCCGTGTGCTGCCTTGGGGTCGGGGTCTGCTGTGGGATGGGAATAGATGCAGTGGCTGGGGTTACAGGCTTCTCAATCTCGCCGTCCACGGTCTCCTTGAGAGTCGAAGAAACATCGTCATCTGTGGTCTCGGATGCCGGCAGATTCGGATGTGGTCTCGCGGCTGGTTCTCCCGTTGCCGTGGACTGGCCTGCCGTGATTGCGGCACCAGGTATCGGCATCGGCTCAGCGGGAACGGGTGCTTGCTTCGCGTCCTCGGTTGTAGGAGGCAGAGGCGCAACGACCTCGATATAATTGACCAGGATATTAGTCCAGTCTACTGTGGTTGGAAGATCGCTTGACGTCACCATCTCCCCATCGACGAGGAACTTGATATGATGGGTACCTGGTGGCAATGCGATAGTAGCGCAGAAAGCGTGCTTGCCATCCTTTGCATCCTTAATCTTCGGCAGCTTGATCTTCTTCTCCCAATTGCAGAAGGTACCGGTCACGAACACCTTATCGCCGCTACCGTACCATGCCAGCTTGGTCGGGACTCTAAGCTGTAAGGAGAGTGTCGACTCTTGGGCAAAGGCATCATTATCGCCCACGTCCTCGTCGTCTACAGTGGTAGAGCTGAGCACACTCGCCTTACGAGGAAGTGCACCAGCGTCAATGTCGCCCGAGTCCAGCGGAGATGTGATGTCTTGTGGGGTGATGATGGGCGAGCCTGGGGTGTGCACTTCCTCCTCTATGGGCAACGGCAGTCTAGGCGGTCGAGTGTAGTCGGAGGGTGGGACAGCGTAAGGCGTAGACGAGTATCCGGTAGGAATGTAGTCGTCATCTTGCTCATTTGTCTCTGCGACGCCATCGCGACTGGACGATAGGTGGTGCGGCACGTCTACAGGGTGTGATTGCGGCTCTTGCGCGGGAGGAGCTTCATGCGCGGGAGGAGCTTCTTGCGCGGCGGGTGTGTCTGAGGTTGTAGGAAGTGTCTGAGACGGCGATGGAGGTCGAGGTCGTATCGGCTCGGGATCGGGCTTGGCCTCGCGCGACTCGCTGTTGCCCATGGCGTGGCGCTTATAAGACTAGCTGTCGCTGTCTTGAGCGCGTGAGGTGGCCACAGAGTGTTTTGCGTGAGGTGGAAGTGGAAGCAGCAATGGCAGTGGGCGCGAATGGCTCTTACGTAATACTTCGTCCGAGTTGAGAATATACTATGTAATTAGCCTATAAGCTAAAAACTTAATCTTATAGAAATAAAAACCGAAAAATTAGTATTTGTTATTATATTCGGAGGTTTTTTATATCTATAAGATATATAGCTAGTAACTACTATACTAGCGATAATAGAGATATAGATTTTTATCTTAAAGCTCGCTTTTCTTATCGACTTCGGACTAATAATAGCTAGAAGTACTAGTTAGGCGCTTTGTTTAGGGTAATCTATAGAAATATTAGCGATATTAGTAGTAATATACTCGACTATATTTAAACTAATTATTAATAGAAAGAATAGTCTAAATAGACCCTAAGATAAGAATAGAAAATTAGAAAATTAGAAGTAGTACTAGAGACTATTATAATAACTATAGCAAATAATAATAATACGTAGTAATATCACAATAATAAATGATAATGCGTAGTTCTATGCAACCCTACACTGCTATAACCCCCCCCCCCCCCCA